ATCAAGCACTCGGGACAAATCACATTTTGAGTATGTGGAGCCAAAGAAAAAAAAATCGAAGCAAGCTAGTTGTTCTCCAAAGGTAAATGTCGCTACTATCGTCTCATTTCATTGAAATTGTATTTTATAATTGTGCTGAGTAATGAAATGTAATATACTGCAGCTTATACCTGTACTGATGAGATTACGAGGGCATTCGAATGATTCTTTCAACACTATACCAACTCAAGAGTCAGGAAAAAGCACTATACCGACACAAGAGTCGGTCAAACCATTATTTGAAGATGCAGATGTGGGATTGCCACCAGGTTTGATCGGCAAGAATAAGTACATTGACACGATCCATCCACGATTTCGTATGCACGTTCGAGAAATCATCAATGTGCTTATCAAATTTTGTGTACAATTCCGGTATCTCGGGACCTAGGACCGGTTCATTGCTCGAATCACCAACTTGTACAGTCGAATGTACAGCCGGCACCGGATTCGTTGACGAAGAACCCTCTCCAGACTTCTTCTTGGTCGTGGTCTTTTTCTTGGTCGTGACAGGTATGCCCTTGCCTTTATCGGATAATTCCTTCCTCTTTTTACGGTTCGAGACAGTCGGAGGTATACGAGGTTGACGTGGTTCTTCCACTGCAAAATAACACACAAATAAAAATTAATATACATAATATAAACACAAGCAAATAAAAATAGGAAAAAAAAAAAAAAAAAAAAAAAAAAAAAAAAAAAAATTTCACAGTTTAAAGTCGACAGAAACCTGTCGAAATATGGGGAAATTTTCGACAGTTAACTGTCGAAAATGGCTGAACTTTCGACAGCTTTTCTGTCGAATACGACATCTATTTGCCGAAGTGAGCAGTCGAAAATAACAAAATCAAAAGCAACCCTTTCCCCAATTTCGACATGTACAGGTCGAAAATGGAGAACGAAGAACCGACCCACGAATCTCAAATCAATGCTCAAATCGACTGAAATCAGATGCACCCATTACTAATTAACGATCATTCTAACCTAAAACAACCAAATCCTAATTACCCATATCAAACATTCAAATCTTAAATAAATATTAAAGAAAAAAAAAATCGAAACAACTATAACTTACTATTCGAAGAAGACGACGGCGGCGGCTTTGGGCGACGTTGGGCGGCGTGGGCGGCGTTAGGCGGTGTTTGGCGTCGGCGTCCGGCGGCGGCGATGGTTGGGCGGCGGCGGCGGCGTCGGGCGGCGTGAGGTTGACGGAGGGAGTTTTTGTGTTTGATTTTTTTTTTCTTTTTTTTTTATTTGGTTTTCAAATAGGTAATTTCAAAGAAAAATTAATGTAATTAGTATTTTGTATGAAAGGGTATTTTTGTACTTTTATTTTTATTTTGGTATTAAAGTAAGAAAAAACTTAAAAATATGTACTCAATTGTGGTTTTCAACTAGGTAGTATTCAACTAAGCAAAAATTAGTATTCAAAATAGTTGCCCCCCAGCGGTAATGAAGATGGGTGAATTACTGAATGAGGGTTAAGAATTTTCTTAATAGTTTAGAGGTAAGAACCCGTGCATGCGTGTGACATTGACACGTTTGCCTGGTCATTCATCGATGTGGCACTAGCGAATTTTTCTCGATGTACACAGCACATTTATCTTCTTAAAAATATGCAATTTCCCATATTTCACCATTAATTATATATATAGTAATGGTTTACACTTTACACCAACACAGTAGATCATTAACAATTCAGGTTCTTTACCAGTGGGCCATAGTTAGGTGATTATAATAAATAAAAAAAAAAAAAATTTTTAGAAGGAGAACATTAGCATGTGCATATGGGCCAGCAGGGAACAACGTGAAGGCCCATATCCTACTACTTTGATGGGCTGGTATGTATTATTGATATTTAATCAAATATTCTTGAAATGAAATTGTACTACTTACAAATTCATTAGTTATTGAAACCATTAATAATACGATTCACAAAGAAAAACCACCCGGCCAGCCAATAAATGACTTGCAGACTAAAATGGTCTGGCTGCCTCTTGCATCATCTTCTTCACTCTCACCAGTTTTTCTATCTCCTTAAGAACCTGCTCAACAATATGAATTCAGTCAAATTACGGTTTCCGGTAAAAAAATATTCCAAAGCGAAAAGAAATTTATAACTTTTGAATTCACCTCCACAGATAAATCATCCATAGTCACCGCATCCGGTTCATCATAACCCAATTGAGAAGCTATTTCTACTCACACACGAGAGGGAAACACGTCAAAACAAAGAGAAAATACAATATAAAGAGAAATAAGAAAAAGCATCAGCATCATAGACTCACTCTGGAGTGAAATGGTTGCATCAGCTGTAGAATATCCACTTCGCCCGCTATTGTACAGCATCGTCAGTTGAGCAAGAACCTGCAAAATGGATTGCCGTTCAATTATTCGTGAAAAAAAGAAGAAGCTATCTTTATAGGATGACAGTTGTAGTGAAGTATAATAATAGTCAATAGCAACTGAAAACATAATTGAATAGACCTCTGGAGAAGATTTGCACATTGAAGTATCAAAAGCAGAAAGTTGAATCCTATCCTCCATTATGTCTCTCGCCACCAAGTCCAACGGCACATCGATCCAAATTGAAATTCCATGTCTCAGTAATGCCCTAAATGAAAGTCCCCAAATAGTCATCACATACACACACAAGAAATTGCATCATTATGTAACAACTGACAGCCACAATATACACACATACAAATTAGTTGAATTTTTAACAGCTCCATTCCCAGCACAAACAATCATCCGACCCATCGACGACAACTGCTTCAGTACTTCTGTCTACAAATAACTCCAACTATGAACTTATGGATCATATAAGCACAGATCAATTATAATTTGTAAACACAATGAGGTTACTCCAAGTCACCTCTGATGCAAGATATCCCTCTTCGTCTTTCTCGATTAATGATATGGCAGCAGATTTTCCTCCAGCGGCTTCCTCCACCAGACTATCGCTGCAGCATGAAATCACGCTTTATTGAAGATAACCATGGTGACATTTATAATGATTAACTCTGAGATAGATACTTATACAGCTTACCTGTCAAAATAATAGTAACGTAATGCATCGGCAAGATTTCTCCCCAAACTGGATTTGTAGGAACTATTTATCCCTGTAGTCGCATGAATTATGATAAAACAGATCTAAGATCGAAAAACAAAGTCTAAATATATGTGAAATGAAAAGATAGGTATCCAGCATTTCAGCAAAGATTCTCACCAAGTAAGAATATGGAAGTTCCCTTTAAGTCGGGGGCTATCTCGGTAGCCCTTTTCTGAAATAAAATGAACAGTTCAATTAGCTCTTCAAAACCGATGAATCATTTCAAGAGCAAGAAATCTACTACTCACTTTGATTGCTACAGACTGGTCATTTTCAACAGCCGTTGTTGCCACTGATTCTAACAGAAAGAAACGCAAAAGCATAAATGAGGCTCATCTTTGGCTATGAATCTCTTCTTGTCTATGAAGGCAGCAGTAGATAGTAGTCAATGAGCAGAAAGCATACTAACTTTAGAACAAATTCAGGTGAATTCTAATATCATATGAGATTGACTTGTTAACCTATCAAACCATACTTGAACCCCATTTATGTTTATCAATTCAAGAAGCTATAGAGTTACAGGCAAAACAAAACAGATAAAAAATAAATTCAAGTTTGATTAGCATAATTTCGAAGTAAATAAGAAATTCAGATGGTGTTTGAAGTAAATAAATAATTGCCGAATAGACCATAACTAACAATTATAACAACCTAAAACCAATAGTTGAGAGATTTCAGATTACCGTTTCTGAATATGCCTAGTGCTTACCCAGTAATTCAAATGAAAATCAGTGACATCATCAAAAATTCAGGTAAAAATTGATTGTGGGTATACGATGCGTATTTGAATAGGGAAGAAGAAGAGAGGAGTGTTAACCTGAAGTGCCTTTCTGGAGGATTGCGCGAGTGGTAGAAATGAGGTTAGTGCGAACGCCGGTGGAGAACTGAGAACGGGGGGGCGATGGATGATGAATCAATAATAGGCGGGGGCCAATAGCTTGGATTATCTCCATATCCAATCCCTTGCCACTCCAACTCTCAATATATTCTTTTCTATTTATATTTATTATTTTTTTGGGGCTGACTTAAATTAGTCTAATCTAAAGATCACCAATTTGATATGGGCTGTGGGAGTGGGACTGTGTGTGGTGGGGAAATTCTATAGCCACCAAAACTAAAAAAAAAAGCAGTTCAAAAAATTGAATTGAATTAAATTTGGGTAAATCACGGGCGGGCAAACCCCTGCTGTATTGATAATTACAAATATTGCATCACCTATTTCTCCATCTTATAATTTCGCTCTGGATTTCCAAATCTACCCCTTGTTAAATCTATTATTTTATCTTACCAATAGTTTGTTTGTTTAATAAAATGATAACTTAAAACAATTCATTCCTTTGGTAGGGTTTATAAATTATTTGAACAGCTGGCGAGGAGGTATCGAGGAGATCCATGATACAAATAAATACATTGGCTTCTTTTCTTTTAATAAATAAAATAAAATGCACACAGAGCATAAACAATAATAATGGCAAAACTTTGATATACTAACTGAACCTCCAGACATATGAATTAATTGAGCAACGGAAATAAAGGGTTGTGAATGTGATTCCACGAAATACAAAGAGAAACAAAACTGATTATATTTACACACATTTACGCAGAGCAAGAAACTGGCAAATTATACTCAGCCCCAAGTGTGAAAGAATGAGAGCGTATGTGTTCCACCGATAAATGCAATACAAATTCAGCTGCCACCTGCATCCACTCAACTTCGATCTTAATCCAGAAACTATCATTATGCCAATTTAATTGTAAAAATCTTAATCATAAGGCACCAGAAACCTATTAAGTATCACAATTCCATAAATTGCAAAAGGATGTCGGTTAAATACCGACAATATCACAGCTTTCACACTGCACAAAGTATGGAAAATCAACTCCAAATCCATTCAGAATCATCAGAATTTCCTTAAGAGTTTTTTTTTATTTTGCAATCTTAAGATAACTTCAGATGAGAATAAATTTTATGAACATGCATGTATGGCAAATCCTATTTCCTATTACAAAAAAATTACCGGTAGACGAAGATTATGCACATAGGTAATTTCAACTCAGATCCTAATGCAGTTCATCAATTGTCGGCACATGAAATTTTACTTGTAAAGGTGTATATGCGGCCATAATTGGTGCAATGTAATTGAGGATGCAATAGGATCTGCCGTAGAAGATTAAGTTTAATGCACATAGAAATTATCATGATACAAGATTGACTTTACCTCTTATCTGCCCGGAGTTTGGTGGCTTCATGTTTGATAGGTGCAAAGGTGTTAATGGAGGAGAAGCAACTCCTTGTGTGTTCTGCACAATTTGAGACGATCCCAATAGCTTACCTGAATGAAAAGCTGCTGCTCTATAACTACTAGAGGGTATGGAGAAACTTCTAGACACAGTAAGTTGCGGCAGCGGAAGTGGAGACCCTCCTATCGATTTCCTTGAAGGATTCCTATTTGTCGGAGATACTTCTCGGTTTCTATTGACTAGTGGAGCAGAGTGCCCAAGTGCCACCACAGAACTTACAGGTTTGAACCCAAAAGAATCGGGGGGCCTAGGCAGCTCATGCAGCTCACTTATCTTGGGCGAAGATACAAGTGGAGGTGAAGCACTATGAGATGTCTTTACAAATGAAGGAGCCAGTGGACCAGATACTCGAGAAACAAATCCGGAAAATAATTGAGGTGGTTCAGTGGTGCTGATGAGTCCACTAGAATGTGCAGGCTTGTTTGATGATGGTTTGCTTGCTAAAGGACCTGAGAAAGCTTGCCTTTTTATTTTACGAGTATCGAATCCACTCTGAGTATCAGCTTGTGGGGCAGCAGCTCCTTCGGCGGGGGGGAAAGGAAGAGGGAGGAAGTGCTGCTTGTTGCTGTTGTTCTCTTCAAAAGTTATTTCCGATTTTGAAAAACTGAGGGCGGACGAACGGTTATCTATGAATTTCTCCGGCTTCTCAATGTCGAGTGGGGATGAATGCCACATGTTTTTCGAACTATTTGTTATTGAACCCTTTGCATCAGCTGGAGTTGGAAGCACATGAGTACTAAGTTTTGACACAGAAGCCCGGATTTCTCTAGTTCTGTCAGCAGGGTCAAACTTCTCTGCGTAGATTGGAGCAGAATGACTGCCCGCTCGATGTCGTTGACCAAGTATTTGGTCCCCTTGGTTTTTGCCACTGTTCATCTGCACATCAACGTCTTTTATTTTTTATGTTTGTAAATTAAGGGCAACAAAATGATCTAGCTCCATATTCCATACAACAGGACATGTTAACTATAATGCAGAGCTAATATTGCATTGGACAGGTACACAAAATGAAGCCAAAAGTGAAATGGAAAAACATACATCCCACTAATAAAAAGGTGAGAATAGCTAAAAAACATACATCCCAGTAATCTAGAAACGCTGTAAATGAGATGCTAAGTTAGGAGCTGAAGCCAAAGAACTAGCAGAGAAAACTCACCTCCATTGAGTTCCTCAATGTGTAAGCATTGTCTATCTCCTGTTCATTTTGTCTATAATCAAAACTCAATTCTCCAAAATCATTGGTCTGAAAACTGTTCCCTTCATAATCATCTTTTTCGCTTTCATTCAATTCATATAGCTCATAATCAATATGTTGCTTCTCAGCAACATTTCTAATATGTGGTTCAACTGCTTCGAGAGATTGATATCCTTTCCGGAAAAAGTTCAACTGCATTATAAAAAGTAAGTTCAAATCGTGAAAACTTGAAAAAGTCAATGATAAAGGCCATCAAACTTGAAATCATAAAATACAAGAAAACCTGTGCTGCATGGTGACGAGCTGCTTGAGTTAATAGGCTCCGGCTTTGCCCTTGCTTCAATGATTCTACACGAAAAATGCAGAGCCTTGCAGCATCATCGTATTCCTCACAAACAACTTCCAATTGCTGCGAGGTGAAAGGCTCCCCTTTTCCATGTCTTGACCGTCCCTTTTCTCTAACTTGTCCCACCATGTATTCAAACATCTCTCTGCATATCATGCAAGAATCAATAAAATGTAACATGAATAGGAATATCCGTTATGGAAATCCATATACCTTTTTTCATCGCATTGCAACTTCATCTCCTGCACTAGTGAAAAGTAGATCATCACCAAGATGTAAATTAAACTAATGCACCAGCAAAACGATGTATTAGTGAAAGCAAACCAGATGTATTAACAAGAGGTATATGTTCACAAAGCAAGTTCAATAATGGCATGCATTTCTTATTGATATTGTTACTGATTAGAGGAGCACTTGGCAAATATGAGTAAAATTATTCCTGGTCCCGCATACTTTACAAAGCTATAAACCTTATTCTCTATCGTGTATGGTGTGTAAGAGCCATGCATGACTCAAAACCAGAAAAAAGTCATTTGCAGCCGCAAAAACATCTTACATTGCAATAAAATTAAAAGATTTTGCAGTTCAGATACAAATGTTCGTTACAGATAATCAATATACTAGCATTTGATATACAAACCTCCACTTTGCGTAGCTCACTAAGAAGAGACTCTGATGGGTTTGTAATTGTCATGATAATATGGGTCCGCTGGAAAATAAAGAACACTAAGTTAGGATCAAAGGTTCACTATTGTATATGTTCAAAATAGCAAAGATTGGCATGAAAATAAAAATACTAACATAGCTATCAACTAGTTTCTGAAGCTCAAGCTGCAGTTTTCCCAGCAACGATAATGCTCCTCCTGCTCAGTCACAGAACGAGTACAGGGTTCAAACAAGTGTAAGGCGGCTACACTTCATTTCACATATTGAAGAACTCACTATACATAATTACATCAACATAGTTTCACATTGCTGCCAATAAACAATTAAACTAGATTCTAGAAGCAGAATGAACTGGCTCACTTACTACTTTCTCCACTATCATGCATTGCAGTTTTCTCCAATAGACAATTACCCATCTCCAGCAATGACTCCGAAAACTCTGAAGTAAGACATAAAGTTGATTATGATATTATAGCATCTTGTAACAAAAAATGCAGATTAAATGTCATATAATCCTTTAATATAGTCATTAATCCCTAAGTTCACTATCAAGTTTTAAAATGCACTTATTTTCGATACACTTGAGCTATATATCCTGACTTATTTCAAACTTCATTGCTAACATCTGAATTGAACTTCCAGAAAATTGCAGTTACGTTTCAGAAGAATCAATCAATTTCGGGAAAACTTAAAAGTGAGACAACAAAAAACTATATCATCGCAAAGCTCCTCCATAAACATATGTTTGCAACTCTACTGGTTTTCCAAAATCAGAGTTCACAGTTAGAAACTTTAATTTTAGCTATTACATCACATCAAACAAGTACCATAAGCACTATTCGCAGTTGCAGCAGCAGCTGAAAGCAAGCTATCATAGCATGTTCTCATATCTTTCATATCCTGCAAACAAAATACAGCAAACAAGACATAGTCACAAACCAAGAAGGAAAAGAATCCAAACAATACTGGCAGGTTATCAGAAGTATCTCTTAATTTACAAGGAGTTGCAATGATGGCAATTAATTATTAAGTTAGGGCACAAAATCTTGACATACAAAAGTCAAGCATAAAAAACATAATATTCTTCTTTACATGTTAGCTGGTTCACTTCTAGATACCAATCTGCAATTCATCCTCACAAATGATTATTGAGTCCAATTACCTAGAAATATCCAAAATTGGACTGAGCGAAAACCCATTATCATTAAGCTGGAATCATTTCATCCCACTTCACGATATCTCAATCAGATGTCAAAATTCGCCTAAAAAAGATATGTTCAACAACCATACGCATAAAACCAGCCTACTTGTTGGACGGAAGGTCAGCATTGGCATTAAAACTAATAAACAGAAATTGCTCCTTCCACCTCAATTCCCTTATAATTTGAGAAATAAACTGAGATGCAGTAACAACTAATAGCAAAAGTAAGAAACAACATTAATTAAGAAGGACCCAAAAAAAAAAAAAGTTGAGTAATTAAGATCCACCTTTGCTGCTTGAGTTAACCCATCAGTATGCACCGAAATTTTGTGATCCCATTTTATCTTAGGCTCGCTCTTATGCAATCCGATATTCCTCAGCTTCCGCAAAGGCGATTTCATCGTTGGGCAATAAACTCAACTCCAAAATTCCTCTCGCTCTCGGACAAAAGGGGGGGGGGGGGGGGGGGGGAATAAATGCACTAAAACATGAACAGGCCGAGTGAATTTAACAAAAAATTGGAAGAAGAGATTGAGAAAGGGGAAAGAAATTATTTAGGGAGAAGGGAAAGTAGAAGAGAAAATTCTAAGTTGAGCGCCGAAATTGAAAAGCTGTAATTTTGACGGGACCTTGTTATAATCCAATGTACTGTTACGTAATTTCCGTTCGGTCAAACTGGAATTCTCCTCTCCAGTTCCCTTTTCTCCAGTGTTGGCCAGTGTGAACTGAAAGGCGCATTAGAGGGCATCTACGGATAATATAAATTATTATATATCTATTTTGGCAGAAAAATAGAGTGAAGATTCAAAATAAAAGGCGTATTCAACCGCGTGCAAGAAGCGTAGTTGTGTTGTGTACGATGAAAATACCAGAATGAGGATTGACCGTTTTGCCCTCAGCGATTAGTAATCAAAGTTAAAATGTAAAAAAAAACTTAAAGTCAGAAGTCAAAGATTGGGTGTTAGTGATGTCGGAGATAATAATAATAATAATAATAATAATGTTGAAGTTTGACCAAAAGACGGTGGGTCACGTGTCGTTTAGTGCACCTCAATCCTTTTTCCCCTATTGTCCACATTTTGCATATCATCGGACTTTTTGACAACCTTATTAATTATGTACACTTTCTTGTCTTTATTTCTATAATAACTAATAATTACTAAAACAGTCGACCTTTGAGCTTGTAAATGTTGATATTGTTTACTACTATTAATTTATATGTATATATATAAATTTAGGATTGAACAAATTCTAAACAATTTATTGAGGTCCAAACCTCATGGACTTTGAAATTATATTTGGGCCGAAATTGAAAATGAGAAACCCTGCTGTAATATTTGGGCCGCTATGTTGCTATGTTTGGGCCTTAGGTGAGAAGAAGTTCGGGCCCGATGTTATTCTAAACGATTACCATACACAGCTGTGAAGCCCAACACAGATAGCAGGCCCAAATAATAAAATATCAGGTCAGAGGAGAGCAGGAAATCTGTAAGAAAGAAAAAAAAATGAAATTATTCATAAAATATTAAGTTTATTGATCAGTCAAAAAACAGAGGTAGAAATGCAATTAAAAAGGGGGCATGTAAAAGTGAGGCTAAGGAGGAAGGAATCCTTAAAACACAAAAACGAGGATGAAAACATAAAAAAAAAAAAAAAAAAAAAAAAAAAAAAAAAAAAAAAATTGCACAACACCCATTTATATAAACATGATTAATTATTTATGTATGGTTGCACTCTCATTAAGCAATCCTTGATAAACACACGAATTAATTACCTCTTTCTTTATTACTACACCATCAATCACCTCCTTGATTAAGCCAGTACTGTATATATATATATATATGTGTGTGAAATGAAAATGTGAAAAGTCAAAGGGGTGGTGGTGGTGGTGGTGGGTGCGTAAGAGTGAAGTAAGGCACATATCCCGTATTTGGGGAAGTCTCCAATCTACACATGATCACATAATTTGACACACAATTTCAATTTCAATTTCAATTTCAATTTCAACAAAAGTAAATAAATAGAAAAGTAAAAAGAATTAACCAACACGAAACATCATCCATTCCATTCATAGGTGGTTGCTTCAAATTGCTGCTTATTAATGCAACAAAATATCGTGTTGGTTATGATAACCGGTCTTATATATTGTGCAAGGATTATGGCATGGCTTAATACAAGATCAACCTCATCAATCAATTGTGCCAGGCAGTAATAATAATAACAATAAGTGGACCTACGTAGCAGGCAGTAATAACTCCTTTTGTTGACCAAAACAAATATGAAAGAAAGCCTGTAATAAGTCAGCAAATTACGCCACAATTTACTATCAACTTTTTACCAGGCAGACGATGCAGTAATAACAGAAATTAATTTGTAGGGTTGATGGGGTTCTACAGTACAGCAACATTGATTGTTCATTCTATAAACTTTGCTTTTCTTCTTTCTTCTTTCTTCTTTTCTTTCTTTTTTACGTACTGTCACCCATATATATATGGGCACGTACAGCCTTTTCATTTATTTTTGGTTCATAGTCAATTAATTTAATTAATGCACAACTATGGATCGGAGTTGACTGCTGCATATCTATCTTTCATCTATAGTTAGATTTTGTTTTACCTTTTCTTCAATTTAATGTAATTGCTACTTTCTATATGTATGTATGTGTATGAATGGATGGATGGCAAATTAATAAAAAAATTGTGAATAAAAAAATGCAAGTTGAGAATGGAGATAGTATCCCGCCGTATATATAGTTGCTTCACGAGACCACAACTTCTGACCCTTATTATTTCCCATGTATGTTCATATTTCAAGTTTCAAGTTTCAACTACTACTGCTACTACTTGACAACTAAATCATTATTTTTATTTATTTATTTATTACTCGATTTGTACTACTCCATATATTAGTAGTAGTAAATTACATGTTTAATTAATATGATTGTAGTATTAATTAGTTTGGGAGGTCGAACCTGCTAATTAATTCATTGGATGTCTGCCTCCCGTGGCTCAATTGGTGGACACAAAGAATCTTTGACATGTTTTTACATTACTGTATTATTATTATTATCAAAATCTTCAGACAAAGCTGTCTTGTTTTTCCAACCCTACAACATGAAACCCATTTCCCAGATTAATTAATTAAATACTAGTAATATTGAATTGTCAAGAAATATAAAAATGTAAAGTATGCTAAAACTGTTAGTGATTCCGTCAAAGGAAGATTTATATTAAGTGGGATAATAATAATGGTGAGTGATTAAGTTCTTTCCTTAGCCTGGTGAAGATGCCTTGTGAATATAAGCAAAGATGCCATTAACCTGCATCCCCTGCTTCTTGTGGTCACAAATACATATTAGGGGATCTTTTTTTTTTTAATATATATATATATAATTAATGTAAAAAAGAAAATTCTACACTAGAGCTGAAAAAAGGCCTTTCTCCTTTCTTGAGGATGCTTCTCTGCTTTCCAATAAGATAAGCTTCAGATTCTGGCAATAAATAATCAATGCTGCTGTGCTTTTTCATTGTTAATATGATGCATGATTGCTTTCATCAAAACTTTTTATGCTATGCTGACTTTTCATCTTGGAATTTGGCATACAACCAAAAAGTGAAATTTAATCTTTTATTCCCATTATGGGATTGCTGACACCCAATTCTTCAAAACTTGTTAATGATTTTAGGCATAAAAAAATTCCCAAATCAATAAATTGTGGTATTGGTATACAGAGCAGAGCAGATCCAAAAAATATGTAAGAAGAAAGAATTAAAGATTGTGAACTTTTTTTCTTCCATTCTGATTAATGTCATTACAATATGCCCTTTGATTCAAAACCTAACACTGTGACTACTTTCTTCCTCCTGATCTAATTCATTAGTTGGAGTATCAGTGATCCCACTAGAACATGATATTGAAACTCCCATCTCATTTTTGCCTTCCTCCATCCTCAAATTCATCTGCAGATTCCTCGATTTCTTGGAGTCAACTAATTTCCCATGATTTCTCGCTTTCCTCTTCCTTTGGTGAACACGGCAAACAACCCAATCCCCTAATTGCATCATCAATTTCTACATATAAAAAAATGAATTCATGAGCAAATCAATCAAACTTCACAGCATTCATCAATTCATATAAATTACAATCCACACCTGAGCTAAGAAAGGAGTGTTTATCGAGCCCACGAGGCATAATTCATGCATAATCCACTGAGTTTTCTGGTCACGCCGTTGACGGAAGACAAAAGATTTCTTGATCCCAATAATTAGGTTACTTCCTGGAGCAATTATTTGCTTGTCTTTGCCAATGGCTTTCCAGTACCCACAATCGGTACCGAAACTGCTGCCGTTGCATTTGGTCAAAGGCGACCTCTTTCTTTTACAGAAGAAGTATCTCTTCTCCCTCAAGTCACCTTTTAAATCAAAAAAAAAAAACAGCACAAAATCACAAATCAACCCCTAAATCACAAATTAGGTCATACTTGCCCTAAATTACTCACAACAGCACAAAGGATTTCAGAAAGGAACAAACCAGGTAAATCCCAGGGAGTGGATTGGAAAACGTCGAATTCGGGAATGGCAGAAGCAGGCAAAGGAAGAGAGTAGATTTTCCTCTTCAAATAGTGAACCAAAACTTCTTCATCAGTTGGGTGAAATCTGAACCCAATCGGAAGTTTAACACCTCCTCCATTCCCATCCTCTGGCTTTGCCTTCTCCATCTTTTACAAACCAAACAATTTTTTTATTTTTTTTAAATTGAAAAGTTTTTACGATGAAGAAAACACAGAGGATGTCAATTTATGAAAGCGAAGAAGAGATTCATGTTTGTGATCTGAAAGAGTTTTAAATTTAATTGGTTGGTTGGTTGTGTGTTCTGATTCTGAGAGAAAGAAATTGGGAAATCTTGTTTAAATAAGGGGAGGGAAATTAATTTATTAATTAATTAATTAATTAATGCTGCGAAAAGAAGGGGGGTCCACGTCCTACTCCTACTCCTATTCCTACTAGGACTCGAACTCCTTCGTTGACCTTCTCGGAGTAATTCAATTTCTATTTTGACCAAACCTTCTGTAAACGTGTTTACATTCATCAACTAATTATTTTATCTTTTCCCAAAACGTGCTCAGAGCCCCGTCAATCTTCTATTTCTTCATACCATGCTTTCCTCGAATTTTCTCTCTCTATTTCAACACATTTTTATTGGATTATAAACTATCTTCTTTAAGAAAAAAATTATGGAAAAACTATCTTATAATTGATTCCGTCCTAAAAAACTATTTAATAAAAATCATTGATTACATGTTTTCCAACAAAATATCGAGAAATTATGTTCACTGATATCGAGTACTTATTGCATATGAAGCCCAAAAGAGGGGCTCATTAGTCATTTCTGTTAAAATGACATATTGAACCCTAGCAAGGAGAAAAGAGTCCTTTTCTCTTACATCCAGGGCCGGTTCTGAGGAGAGGTGAAGTAGGCGGTCGCCTAGGGCCCCAATTTTTTACGAAAATTTAGGGCCCCCAAATTATTTTATATACACTTTATATATTAGTACTTATTTTTAAAAATTGATTATATATAATATTTTGGAACATCAGTTCTAAAATAAATTTAAACTAAATGATCGATCAATAGCTATTTTTGTAATTTTCTTAATATTGGGCCCCCTAAATATTAAAATTATAATGTCTTATTACTTATTTTTATTCTAACATTAGAAGTGTATTCAAGTTTATAAATATATATGAAGTCTATTTGCTATAAAGATTATACTTTACGGGAGGAAGTGAACCAGCAAAATCATATTGTTAATTTTGAATTTTATTTCTTCATATTTTTAATTATTTTAATATTTATGCATTTCAAAAAATATTTCGGGGGCACTGCCCCTAAACCCCCATAATCTTTTATTTCATCATTTTTAGAAAATATTATTATATTTTTTTAATACATTCAATTTCGATTAATAAAAAAATGTTTATCAAATAGGGGGGCCCGTTTCTCGCCTAGGGCCCCCGAATTCTCAAGAACGGGTCTGCTTACATCGCACGACGATGCGAGGTAAGGTATAAGGTATGACCTCAAGTCGGGGTCTTAGACGAGCTGAAACTTGTTTAACCTAATTACACAACGGTGGATCGAGATTTTGGTGAGGTTGAAAACCCATGCAAGAAGGATCAAGTTGATATCGCCCTGACATATATCATCAAAGTGAAGAAGCAGATTCTATAATCCGGAAAATTTGGTGTCTTAAGAGAGTATGTATGACAATTAACTTTCGAAAATTAGTTACAAGGCACTGAACTTTTAAAATTGACTGTGACTTTCTAAAAACTGAGTATTTCAACAAAATTTGACACCGAACTTGTAAAAAATGGAAGTGAACTAGTAAAACGTAATGCATCGATTTGTTGATTTTTGCTAATAAATAGGAAATGCATTAATTAAGGCAACTTGTTTAATTATGTTCAAAAATTAAGAGAACCCGAGACATATAAGTGCGTGCATTCCTTACGGAGTACTAGTTAATCAAGATCAGTCAAACACAGAAGACGGTGTTTAATTTGTCATTACCGTGGAAGTGTCTCCTCGAATCTACCACAATGCCAAACTCCAACCACAAACCATGAAGAACATTTGCCAGTTTCATATATCAACTATTGTCCAGTCTATGAATTTTGCCATACTTTTGATCAATAAGTTTGAACTTTGAAGAACTAACATTTTATATTATAAATTATCATTTTCGGTTAACTTATGGTTACTTCAAAATAAATGGATGATGACCTTAATTGCAGAACCAGAACCAGAAGCAGTGCTGTAGATGAAATTGGAACCTTGGTCCAACCCAATGACACACAATATTCGACTGACTGCATGAGGATTATGGGCAGAACAAGGCCCAAAAATCAGCCTGTGAGAAGTCTGGCTTTGTATTTTATTAATAAATAATTTTTTTCTTTTGTTTTTAATTCTTCTTTTTAATGTATTCTGGTATCAATGTGTATACACAGTGAGAGACTTGCATTAGAAAATGAAGAAAGGCATACATACATACATACAATAATGAGCCAACAAATAGTAATTAGCATAAAAACGGTAGTATTATTAATAATAATACATTTGACCCCAAGAAAAAGAATGCCACGTAAAGGGGTTGAATTAGGAAGAAGGGCAGAAGCAAGGATTTAAAATGATGATACAAGTGGAGGTTAAAAGGATATATATATGAGAATGATGTAATTAATCCCTCAAAGAATCACAGCACTGTATATTATATATCATTGCTGTATTAATTCAGGAATGAGCTTCAACAAAAATGCCAACTCCTTCTGTGAGAATTTAGGCCTGCTCCCTTCACCTTGCTCCTCTCCTCCTCCTTGCATTAAAATATCGCCCTCCTCGGATGGCTTCGTCATCATCTTCGAAACAGCTTCCGTTATTTCTTTTACCAAATCCACAATCACTCCTTCTATTCCCATCAAATGTTGCATATACACCGCTTCCGCCACATTACTATTATGGATTACACGCCAATTTAATTATTAATTAGCATTCATTCAAATAACAAACATAAAATCGAATGAAGAAAGAAAACCACACTCACTTCAATTTGCCATATGTCATGAGAGATAGCTTCGATTCTTTGATTTTGTTAACTGCCCCGGGATTTCTAAATACACCCCTCACTTCCGAAACAATCCCTTGCAAACCACCTTCCAAGCACAGCTTTATCGCCTCCTCCAAAGAATTCCTTCTCACATCGTAGAATATCTCATTTCCTCCATTTGTCAGGAAAAACACCTAGTTCCCCCCGAATTCAACAAAATTGAAAACCGTCAGAAATGTATTATATCAACAAGATCAAGAATCATCGAGGTTTTTAAGCAGACGACTTGACTTACAGGGTAGGTGGCCTGAAGTTTCTTGACAAGCAGAGCAGCATCTGGTTGGAAAGTGGAGAATATGACGGGCCTTTCTTTGGCATGATCTACAACAACTTGCAATATCGACTGCAAAACATGGCTGAGATACTCTTGCTGGTAAACAATGTGATCGTCAAACTTCAATTCAATGTTGAAACCAAGAGGAGGGATCACTTTCTCAAACGCCTCTTCGAGTGTGCATGGTGGCTCGTCGGATTCAACGGCCCAGTTTATTATCTTCCCATCCTTTGTTTTCCTCAACAGAGTTTTCCCCTCCGAGGCAGCTTCTCTCTGAGGACCGTAGCTTAGAAATTCAGACAGAGACAAATCTGTCACTCTCTTTTCGTAGATTGTCCCCTGCTATTCATTCACAAACTCATCGATCATCAAAAACATTGTTTTTTGTTTTTTCAATAATTCATGAAGAAAAATGAAGAAAGACTTACATTGTCTTGAGAGTAGATGAAGTTGTCGTGGAAAATAATGGGGCAGCCATCGGTTGTGACCTACAAAAAGAAGAGTCGTATGTTTCACTCTCTTGTTTGGTCTCTCAGCCACTCTTGTCATAAAAGTACAAACTACTTTTATTTCAAGAGCAACACGATAAACAAAAACAAACTTCATCAGTATCTCCACCGATTTAATCTCAACAAATATCAACAAAACGGGAATTGCTAGTTTAAATTCATCAATCTAATCTACCACCCGAGATCCCTTTTCATTTACAGAGCATCATTTTTAAGCAAAAACTATTTTTTCATATTTTCTGTAAAATAAATCCGAGATTTAATTGCAGGAAAATAAATTAATTTGTTTCTTTTTCAGGCAAATTATAATCAGTTAAATTAAAGACGTAAATACGCGGCGAGGAGACGCCGTTTTGACAAAAGGTGGAAAAAACAAAGAGAGGGAGGGAGGAAATAGTAAATTACAAAAATAGGACAAAAAGAAAGGCCATCGGAAAAAGGAGAAAAAAAAAAAGATGTATGTATACCTGAACGTCAAACTCGATGAAATCAATGGGGTATTTTCCGGCGGTATTAAACGAAAGAATCGTGTTTTCTTTAACAGCCTTCATCCTCAAATCCGTCGACTGTAGCATGTTCATCCCATTCCCCCTATGTCCGATCACCAAAAATTTCGGCTCCTTAAACGACGTCGTCCGACCAATGTCCACGCCTGCTAATTTAAACAACCATTAATTATCATATATTAACACGGCCAGAAAAAAGAAAAAAAGAAAAAAAAAACAGAGAGAGAGAGAAGAAGAGAAAATGAATATAGAAGTTTGAGTTACCTTTGGAGAAACGGGAAGAGTAGAGAGAGAAAGATGCATTCTCCGGGACATGATCAAGATTGGGAACGTCGGAAACGTGAACGGCTTTCAGAGCCATTGTTGGATATAGAGAGAGAGAAAATAGAGAGAGAAAGAGTATTGAGGATGAGAGGATATAATTGGGATTCTTCAAATTGTTGAGGTGAATTCAACTTGGGGAAGGGGTATTTAAGGGCCCTAGGTGAACGGAATCGGCCGAGCTGGAATATTCCTTGTCTAAATCCGTTTTATGCTTTTGGATATTCCTTTTTTTTTTTTTTTCCATCTCATTTAAATTCACCAAATTAAGAAAAAAAATGTACATTTATTTTGTTTCCTATTTTATTATTCCGTTACAATTCCTACATCTCCTTCGTTCATACTAGTGAATGTCAATTTGAAATATGATTCAAATAAAAGTCTTACACGGTCCATTTTTGTGGATTTGACCTAGTAACTTATTATTTTCTTTGATGAGATAAATTTTACGAATATTGAATGAATTATATCAATTATTAATCTAGAATCAATAATGATTTTGGCTAATCGCACATAATAAAGCCAAAGTTTATTCCAGAATATGCCGTGGAATAATTGGTAGTGGAATAACGTTATATTTAACAATCCATAATCACTGATGCCTTTTAGAGAAATAATCTTCCAACGAAACAAGGACTGTATGGCCCGGGAATTGTACAAAACTAGGGGCGTAAATGAGCCGAGCCGATTCGACAAAAGCTCAAACTCAAATTTTTCGAGCTAAAACTTGAGCTTGAGCTCTATGACAAGTCGAGCCCGAGCTTATTTTTTGTTGTTTGTGCGCTCTCGATCTGGTGCATGAGTTTTTTTTATATATAAATATAATTAATATAAAATAAATAATAAATTCTTATAAATAATTAACAAAGAAATTACAGGTCTTTTTTTTTGGATTTTTTATTATAAGTAATAATAATATTAATAACAAAAAAAAATACAAAAAATGACTGAGGCTCGAGCTCAAGCTCGGCTCGTTTACACCCCCGAGTACAAACTGCCCGAGGTAAGTGAATAATAAATACATTTGTATAAGGACAATAATTGGGTGATGACGAGGCATTATGTGTATCCACGAAAGAATACGGATTAGATTCCTATACCATATGGCATTAATACAATACAAATTACAAACATTATCTTCTTCTTCTACCGTATAATAATAATAATAATAATAATAATAATAATAATAATACTGCAATAATATAATAAACAAATCACCGCAGCCAATCGTTCTTCTGTTTTAATTTGTATTCCTCTAATTTGATGGTCATTAATTAGATTTGCAGTTCATGTGGAGGTGCAGCCAGTCATTACCTACTTTGCATGTCTTCCCAATTCCTTTCAAACAATGTAGTAATACATATTCGTATTAATTGGCATTTCAATAAATAAATATTTATTATATAACAAGTTTTAACTTCACGACAATATTTTAGGCCTATCTATGTTGACTGTTGAGACTTGAACTCTGGCGTACCCACATGAACCATATATAATCTCTTTCCCCCCATTTTTTAATACCTATTTTAATAATAATAGTAATATTCAAATTAATAAATATGAGTTTATATTGTCAATTTTCTGTGCGAGAAAATTAAACCCTTAAAAAAACATATTAATTAGGGGCTGGTGCCCCTAATCTCTTTCCCCCCAATATCTGTATGGGTATTGATCAATAGTTTGCAGAATATAAACAGATTATAAAACACGTTAAACATACATAATAATCACGTGTAACAAATAAAACCTTAAAAAGATGATGATAATGCTCGAATATAATTATTTGACCTGAGTAGTTAATTTTGCGTGAGTCCATTAAATTACACGGCAACAGCAGATCCATGCAGATTAGGGAATGACGTGGATCCACGCCGTATATTAATTATAAGTCGTCATAAACTGGCTGTCATTGTTAGACTCTTGTTAGCCAGCTGTCACTCATGCACCACATATATTTTTAAATCCCCAACTATTAATTAATTAATTAATTAATTAATTAATGATTTTAATTAGATGGTCCTAACTCCTAATAACTCTTACTGATCATACAACACGTCATCAATTGTAAAAGCCAGAAGCCTGTACGTGTTGTGTATACAACTATGGCGTTCAACTTTTGCCGCATCACCAGCCACCTACTTCTTTTTATTATTTTTGTTGTATTTGCAAGATAATTAATTATACATTATTTTGGAATATACAAATAGCATAATCTAAACTCATTCTTTTAAAAAGAAAATTAAATTCCTCTAAAATTTTCCAATCAATTAAATTTCACTGGCCCACATGTAGAATTGTGGAAAATTGAGAATATATCTAAACGGGCCTACCATTAGCTCCCTGGACTTTGGAAATGATATTAAATTATGGGTCATCTTTATAAGTATTTTACCCTTTTATTTCGAACTCGTATTGCAGAAATCCTGCAACGCGATTGACATTTGGTGGTGGGGTAATGGAACGATGCCAATTCGTGTTCGTATTTAATTTTGACAATTGGAAGGTAAATAAATGCTAGTGGTTTGGCAGACTTGCATGGGCTAAAAGGTTTACTCCAGCCCAATTGTACAATTACAGATCCAGCCCATATCTAATTCCAAAATATCATACAATTAAGATGGTCCAGCTACCCATCCATCATTCGCAGACCCACTTGGATATAACACTTAATCAACATCTAATTGACATATTAATTCATTTGAAAAAAATAAATAAAATAAACGATAATTGAAATTTCATAGAAGCGACGAAACAATAAATTCCCAAATTATTTTCCAACTTCCAACATTAATGCAACTTAATTACTGTAAAGTGTAAACCATGTAGTGTAGTACAGTTTTGATGTGACATGGTTACCAAATATTAGGGCAGTTGGGTTTGGCAGATAATGGTATTCCAATTTCCAAATCTACTCCTTTTGTGTTTATTTTACAAACTAATATTGTTTTATAGATAAATTTGAAACACTAATAAATACATACCAAAAGCAGGAAAAATAAAAATAAAATAAGAAGACCATCACTAGACACTAGTCACCACCCTTTTTCTTATCTTGTTCTAAAACCGCCCGCGGATTATTTGAAAAAGGTCAACCGGGAAAGAGAGTCAAATATATCCCTGGAATTCCTATCGTGCCCTCATACCTCCAACGGCTAGTTGTATAATGAAAGGTTTAAGAAGTGGGGGTGTAAATGGTCATTTAGTTTGCACCGGCTGTGGAAAGAAAAACATACACCCCACCCCCAGTAGTCAAGAAGCATTTAAGAAGAGAGAGAGAGAGAGAGAGAGAGAGAGTCTATTCTATCTCTCTAGGGTTCGTTCCAAGAGAGAGAGAGAGGGGTATACAATAATAATAATAAATGGTGGGAAGACAGAAGACATTAATTTCTCTGACGTAGAAAATAAATGGGGGGGTTGCGTTTATCGCTGCAATTGTCTCTGCACAGAGAGACCCCTTTCCTTCATTGATATTTGATACCACC